ACAGTCGTTCAAAGCGGAGTCATAAAATGTTCCTTTTCCGAGCATGATTGGATGGAGTATTAACGCTTCTCGAATGATTTCTCTCCGTTGACGCCAAAAATGCCACTCTTTATGCCTGGTGTCATCATAGTATTCTGCGTGGAATCGATTCAGATTCTACTATGAAAGACAGTAGTACTATTCTACGAAGTGTAGAATACTACGACAAGAGCATTGGCGTAAAAATTAGTCTCTATGGCGGCAAATGAGAGGAATTACTCAAGCAGTGCTGAAACTCCATCCACTTCAAACGCGAAAAAGATATAATTTATTACTTCACTTTGAATGATTATCGATTTTTATTCAAACATCCTAATTACATAAACTCAGAAAACAAATGTTGCTTTCTTTGTGATACGAAACATTATGAAAATAGATCATCCGCTGTGGGTATTATAAAGCATCAAAGAGGACGCGTTTTTTGGGCTACCCGGTATTTTACTCATTCTCATTGCATGAACATTCTTTTCTGTGGCGAAGCTATAAGTCTTCCAGTTAAATGCAATACTATAAAGTAACTTGATGACAGCATCCACCACTAGCCCCCCAGAACATGAACAGCATCTACAGGAATGAAAATAAATATTTTGGAAAGTATCTGAAAGACGTTTATGTGTGAAGCACATGGGAAATTCGTTTGCGCATTGTGGCCTTCCATTCTCTATTATGAAAAAGCGATTTCTTTCTTGTCCATGCAGGGTAGATCGCCGGTGTGCCATGAACCCACCTGAAGTTCCTACATCCCAGAAGAGGAACACGTGCAACCATTTTGCAAGCAGGAGTGACAGCATATTCATCCGGTTTCCTACTATTTGGACAAGAATGTATTTGATATTTTTGATGAAGTACATAAATAAATCCGATGTCAGCCGACAGTCACCGTTCATTGAATCTCATACGATTCGAGTATTTCGAATGTATTCGCATTGTGAAGAATTCGAATTCAAGAACGTCATTTCATCAACGTTTAACCCTGATATTAATGAAGTTCGCAATTGGATTTCCATTTACATGAAGCTTGGAGCGTTTCGGTCAGAATGGGTGCTGAGCCAAATGCACAAAATCCCACCCTGGGAACA